CCAAGATAATGGAATACTTGTATGTTCTAAATGAGTGAGAACGCACCAGATGGTAATTTTGATGTTGTGGTAACCTCCTGGTGGTTGCTGCTCGGATTTTCGACGGTGGTTTTTATTATGCTATCATTGTTTTGGAGAAAATAGATGTAAAAGCCTTGTATCTCTCACCTCTCTAAAGAATCTGTTACCTCAAAAGTAGGTTTATGACCGAATCAGTCGAAGTTGAAAAGCTACATCCACTCCAGTTTATATGGTACTAAAGTTATACGCGCTACATACCTCGCTTTTTCAGTTACCAGTAATTGATTGTATCCCAATTGTTAATGAAAGGGGAATGGTAAAATTTCGCTCATCTTTACGCAGAGTGACAGCTTCTTGATTTTCGTACTCCGTAAATTCGCATCCATCCGGCAGTATCTCGGAATTGCTTATTTGTTCACTGCCACAGTTAATCCTACAGGGTATTCATATTCAGTTCATATCCTGAATCGATCCACAGCGTAACAAGTTAGTCGATGTGGTACATTAAGTTGAGAGGCCTGTTTCCCTTCGCCGTCTCATATCTTGTACGTGTTTTTATCTTTTTAAAGCAGGAAAATCCGTATGATCTATACAAGCTGTAGCGGTTATCACCACTGGACATACTGTGCCTCGTGCATCAAAGTATCATTTTGTCCTGTATGTCTAATTGTGTAATTTACATTTCGTTTGAAGGCCGCGACTGGTGATGAGGTACCGAATCGCGCTCTCCGATCCTGCGGTGACCACCGAAGTTTCTTGCCGATGCACTTTAATTTGTTCCAGTTACAGATTTTCCCCGTACCTTGACTGTAAAGTAAACGCTTAAGTTCGCTGAATCAGTTCATCTGTTGCCGAATCCATCTTTGCAAATCTTCGAATGCCTAATAACGAACTGAAATCCGCTTTGTTAACGGACCTTGTAGATTCTCCTCGATTCTCGTACCTTCGGCATCAAATGTGTATATGCGTGTAGCTTGTGGAATTTCGAATGTTGCAATGCATAGCGCAGACTTAAAGTAAATAGTATCTTGCTTTCATGTGCACATTTTGACTGAACGAATCGCCGTTTTTTTAGCAATTTTTATGTACTGATTGTGAGAGGGCTTGGAGGTAGTGTTAAAAATGCTTTTTTGCGCAAGTAGAGCTGTTTCTTTTTATTGCAAATAAAGAGTTGTATCCTGAAAATCCGATGTTTCATTGATTGCCGACTCGAGTTCAAGCAGCTACGATGTTCGACCGCTGTGGTAAAATGCAATGTCTTAAACTAACCGGTACATAGCTACGGATAAACTGAAAGCTGCGTTCGAAATAAATTTTTGAAGGCTTTTCTATTTCCATCTATCGTTGAACTCTGATTGTTTAGCTCGGAGCACTGCCTCGCTTCCATTTTCCGACCATCTTCATCTACTGTCTTTTCATGAGCACACAAGAAGCCAGCCGGTTTCACGGCGATTCTGTCTTCGTCCCTTTCTGTCTAAGTAGGAAAACTTCGAATGCAAAGAAACAAATTAAACAGTTCGACAAGTCGCAACATTTGTGAAGGAAGTTGAGGTCCAATCCTCCGACTAAAAGCCTTACCACATCAACTGTCAAAGGTTCGCAATGTCGTTCAAAAGACCTTGACGAGGTATCTTCTTGACCCCTGTACTTTCGATCCTCGAAAACGATGGCTTGCAGTCTTATCCGTAGCTATTCTGACGGTCTGTTATAAACTGAATATTTGCATGTTCTTAAACTGATACGTTCGTCTTACTCTCAGCGGAGAGAGTGCAACCTTCAAGCATTGGCTGCTGTATATAATACAAACATTCAATTGTTGTACTATCACGCAAGGCCTCATGTTTCGAGGGCTGCAAGATTTAACTGAGCGGCTTCGAATTTCTGGCCATGATGAATTTAAAGTTTCTTCTCGAAACGATCACCTTGATGCCTTAAATTTATGTCGAGTGGTCAGTTAAAAATTTAACAGTCTACATGACCAAAAAACGTATGTAATTGTGAAATATGGTAACTCTAATAACCAATTGAATCCATGCGTCGATATGCAAGTTCTTTACCGTAACTTCTGTCGAATCGATGGTTTATTTGACTCCGTGCAGTTTGACTTACAAGATTGTGATAAACTAGTTGCATAAAAAGAGGTTTCACAAAGAGAAAATCTCTCTTGTCATAAACCTTCGCGCATTGTTACCTCTGCCTTACTTTCATGATCTTTCTTTTTGTTTCCCTTTTTCTCTTCCAAGTATTTAACCCTGTACACCCTCACGTGGTATTCTTATACTTCACACTGTTATCTTTACTTTTCTTATGATACTGACAAGGAGAATTTGTGTGACAATCACGATGTTTTAAATTACTTATCATTTCCTTTATAAAAGTGACCTTTACATTTGATTCAAGGGGTATACTGTAGAGGGTATTAGAAGCTTGTCACTCTAAGGGGCAAAAGGTTGAGTGTAACGTAGAAAAAATTATCCAAATACCTTATTTCCTCAAATAGGCGCCCGTAGTCGAATAAGCACCCACCCCCTGGGCCAATATATCAATCAAGTGCCTTTCTCCTCTCGAATAACCCTTGCCCTTCCCTCACTTTTCTAACCGGTATTAAGGAAAGGAAGACCTGTTGCTATTACCACTTGATTAATAACTTTTTAAGCCTCAACTACAGCTGAATTAGTGCAGGTTCAACGGTTCGTAATTGGCGCCTTACTTCTATTAAGCGCTCCTCTTTTTAGCCAAAAAATCAAATAAGTGCTAGGCGCTTATTCGAGGAAATACTATACTCCGTAGGAGATTTGAAGTAGGGGGAGTCAGGGACGATTATTTGAATTTAAGATCATAAAACGGGGTTAAACAACCCAAGACGAAGGTCATTTACCGATGTATGTCATACCACAGCCCTTACAATTCCTAGATAATTTAAGTTCTATCTTAAGTCGTTGATTGTGATGAATGCGCTCAAACTCCCAGCGATTGAAGGTAGGTAAATTGTAACCGCTAAACTACCGTGTTTTGTTGCCAAGGTAAATCTTACAGTTTCCCCTTTTTCTGGAAACTCTTTTTAACGTGCCGACAAATTGCCAAACCGTACAAACACTGCATGAAATGTCGTGTGGTTGGCGAAGTTAGTTCTCTTGTATCTGGTATATATGATTGGTCGAATGATCTATCAGTGAGCGATGAGTATGTCAGTTCTTGTCCGAATCAGCTTGTCGAGAAATTAAGTGAGTTTAAGGCATCAACTGAGGCCAACCTTTTTTTTTTAAGCCATGCAGTTATTTATCAGTTATTAGGCTGAAACCGAGACTACTAATCAATAGTGTAGTGTGATCTTCTACTTGAGACTTTCACGGTAAGGACTGTTATTATTAGTAGTAGTGGCTGACTGTTTGCCAATCTAAGTGGAAGTCAGCGTGAGAGTTAACTGAGGAGCTGTTCATCAGTCGCCTGTGAGAAATTGTGCGGATGGCCTCTGCATAGGCTGTTGGACCATATTCTCTTAGTTGTTATTCAAGGCTATTCAAGTCATCTCGCTAATTTTTTTGGGTGTGTGGTAGAGTTTCTTTTGTCTTTGGTTTGTGCTTTATTTCAGCACGGAGTAACTTTTTAAAGTTACTTTTTATTTGAGTTATTTTCCATATCCACGCCCGTTTTATTTCAGCAGTTGACTTTCTTAAGGTTTACTTAACATTTACGTTCGCATTTTCAATACCATGTGAACAAGCTATGAATGGCAGTACAGTACTAGTTGGGAAGCAACGAGATACCGCACCATCGAGGGGCCTTGTTGATTTCGTACGACTTGATCGGTTGTATTGTTGCGTCTCTGAGAGCCTGCATTTAGGGTCCTTTTTTTTTTTCTTTTTTTTTTTTCTGGTCCCTTTATTCCAAACTCATCTTATTCACTAGTTATTTATTAAGAATCGTAGTTGCGGAAATCAGAGAGATGTGGAATTTTTTGTATCCTTTTTGAAATTGTCTGGTTTTTCTCAGTTTGCTATACCAGGATTACAACTTTTTATGAGTGGAGACGCCGAATGCTCTTTCCTTTTTTTTTTTTTTTTACTTTAAAGCGAACGTTGGGCTATTATTACGGAAATGATCAAAATACCACGAAGACGATAAAATCTCGACTGTGATTGTGTAGTAATTGTCAGCTTTACACTTTTCACTCCGTTCTTTATGTGTTCTCCGAAAGAAAGACGGGCTATCTGATGCCCCCGTATGCATTAGCAATTCACTCTTCTGGGAGCGTGTTACAGGAATGGTGAAGCGCTCCAAAGGCGAGTCTAGTCGAGCGTTCATATTTGTTTCTTTGCTTGTTTGACAAAGATGAGCACTGGAAAATTTGGTTTTGTGGGTTAAAGTATGATAATCGGCTCGGAACAAAAGAAATTAAATACAGCAGGTAAGCAGACGTGACCAGCCATCCCAGACATCGAGACGGAACACAGTTTACCAAGCCTTTGAAATAGTATTACTGAATATTGGTACATCCTGGCAGGACTATGACATCGTCAGGCGATCAAATTTCTCTTTTGTAGTAAAGTCTGTTTTCGTCGTAATTGCAGGACCTGTCAAGTTTCACTAATCATAACGTCGCGTTCCGGAAGACAGTTGCGTCCCTGCAATCTCTTGGTTTTTTTTTTGTTTTGTTTTTTTTTCTGTCAGTTTCGTGCCAAGCCTCTCGCCGCCGCCTGTTTCACAGCTCAGCCGCTCGTACCGCAGCACCAAAGAGACCCTGTTCGCTGGCTAAGATGTAGCTTAGAGAATTTGTAACTAAATTTAGACTCTTGGATTATGGATCGCATGTGAATGCTGACAATGGGGTACCATACGCCTGCCGAGAAATCAATTGTGCGTTATGGAGCAACACAGCGCCGCTTAAATTTGCGGATAACGTTTTCGCTCTAGAAAGGCAACTAATCGTGCTATCCTTGCCCATCCCTGAATTTCCTTAATATTTTCGTAAAGTTTTAAACACCCCTGAAATTTCCTATGTTTATTCCTTTTGACGAAGGGCTAACGCTTTAGAAACTTCACGCCGGTCAATTTACATTATCAACTCAGTTCATGAAACCGTTTTATCTGTTTGGGGAAAGGCCTTCCCCGAGAGAAAAGGACAAGTAAGAAATCGCTATCTGTAGGGTTTGGAATTGTATTTCTAAAAGATTCGTTATTTTTGAAGTCGTAACTATCTCGTAGGGATTTGGAATGTTTTTGAGTGCGTTAAAACAGATGACGCTCTCTTTTTTTTATGACCCTGTATTGTCAGTTCCTTCCAGCGGTCCGGAGGTGCACGGTTAGTTGCTAAGAATTCGAGAAGTGGTCATCTACAAGTCTGGTGTATTGAAGATACCCTTTTAGTGGCAGACCATGTCATTTGAAGTAGCAATATCGACGAAATGTAGTAATAAACCTTTCCCTCTTGTTTGTCTGTAGATGAATTGCTCTACAACACTAGTACGTCATAGATCGCAAACCTGCACTTTGTCATTCTTGAACGATAATCGTTTTGAAATATGTCAGCTGTCGCAGCTGAGGTACTCTTTCGACAGAATCCAGACTTACTAGGATTTTAAGGCTTTTACTTGAAGAGATCCGTCGTTGCTGAGGGAACCGACTAGACGTATGACTCGACTTTTGTTATCTAAGTGAGTATCTTGTGCGGTGAAGTGTGCAATCTCACGCCTTATTTTTTGTACGCGGAATTGATTTCTAACGTTATCAAAACATGGCAAGTCTTTTGTGCTATGAAGAGGCCAATTTCTTGTTTTAGTTTTTTTTATGCTGAATTTCTGACTGACGGTGTTGAGAAAAACTGAGTCTGAACATGGCAGGTCTCGCAAGAAAAAAGGGCGAGTTTCTGACCCCGCTTTTTGTGTAAGCAATTCATTCCTCACGGGATGGAAAACAAGGAAGAAGATGGCGATTCCGTTGCAAGAATATTGGTTAATTTTGTTCCATGGCTTTTACTCGGAGTTATTTTTCTAGATATGGCGGGTCTATTTTGAAGAAAGAGGCTTATTTCGTATCTTTTTTTCTGCTCGGAATTGATTTCCAACTGTCTTTAAGACTAGTCTAAACATGGAGAAATCACTGAACACTTTGACACACCTTTTATAGTCAACTTCAGCTCTTTTTGGCGAGAGTATGAGGAGATTCTCTCAAGTGTCGTTTATTGCTCAGTTATTCGCGTTCTACCGAATCTTATTGTTGCTGTGAAGAATTGTGAAACGTCGAGTAAAGTTGTTTAAATGATGTTTTGTACTTTTTTACTTTCTTTCTCTTAAACGTCTGAAGCACGTCACAAAGCTAAAGTTATTTTTATTATTAGTCTTCCTCTTTTGTTGTTTCGATTGTTGTTTTCTCCACAACAACTTTTAAACCTTGCTCATTTTTGTTGTTCATACAACGGCAGTTTCTTCCAAAAGTTGAAAAAAAATACGTAAAAAAAGTTTAAAACAAAATTCAGTCGAGAAGATCAGATCAGTTGAAAGGTCAAACGAATGGTAGACATTACACATGTTGATGTCCGCTTATAATTTTTTTTTTCTCATTGGAATTCACTGTACTTAATTTCGTGCTAAATGTCTGTAAACGCAGCTTCATATTAACAAGAGAGAAATAAAAAAGAATCACCTTAAAACTCATCTGAACAGAGTCGGCTCTGCAACTTCGCACCCGATCGCTCAATATTCTGGGTTTACCTGTATTCAGATCCAACATACTTAAAAGTTGTAACTTACTCTGTGAAAAATGGACTAAGATACAGGTGATTACAGGAATAAACCTGTACCCAAATTCTGTACCTGATAATCCATCAATTCTTCCTTTCTCCTCAAAGAGGCAGTTCGAAGTACAAGTCGAAATTAGTTTTTTTGATATTTTTATAGTCGTGAAAGAAAACACCGCAGACTATTGTGAATGTCATTTCCGTTTTAAGTTATTTCTTGCGAGAAAGAAGATTACGATTGTTGATTTTACCAGAGTTTTCATCATCAACATGAAAGAATCCGTGTTTGGTCAACCTGAGGGTTTTCATGTCTCTTTTTTTTTTTTTAATAATTTATCAAGGTGGACAAGTTGCTTCTTGTTCGAAAGTGGCCGATTTTGGCTCGGAAATGAAAATAACAGGAAGGTCAGATTTTTGTGGTTAAATGTAAAACGAAGTGACTTGTAAATGCGTGGGAACCTTCCGATGGCTTTGTTTTGCAATCGGAGTGTGCTTGTAAAGACTTTTGTTTTTAGCGGGTGTGTGAAACAATGCGCCAAAACAAAACACACTTTCGAAACAAAGCTAAACACGTGCTCTGGAATATGGCCTTGTAATGTTTTATTTACAGTGCGATTTATGGATTTCACAATGCCTCCGTAGAGCCACAATGTATCACGTCCCAAGTTCGTGTAGGCCATTCCAAGAGTCGTTTGTTTATCTTGCACAGTCAATTAGCTCAAATCGTTCTCACGGCCTCCGACTAAGCCGGTTTTTAAGTGTCTGCTGTAATAACGGAAAAAAAAAAATTGGCATTCGCCGTCTCTATTTATAATCTGTCTCTAATATGCCCGCCAGACTTCCAGTCTCGTTGGTTAAATGGCTTTTATACGTTATAATTACTTTAGCATTTAACTTTTTGGTTCAGTATACCCGTCCTCACGCGCGCTTTGAACTTGAATGCCGACTCTTGCTGTTGGCTATCCAAGTCTGGCACTATTTGCATAACGCATGCTGAGAGGGTTTTGTTTCGCGCAACAAGCGACCAATGGCAGGACTGCGTTCTCACGCTCTCTTTCTCAGCTGCCAGCGAACGCCAAAATACCATTCATGCGACAAAAATGCAGGCTCTTTAAAACAAAATGCGATGATAATAAGCCGGGGTTGGGAACTTGTAGACAAGGATTTTCCCACGGCTCGGAAGGTAAATAAAACGCCATGTTCACCAAAGTTCACTTTCATTTGTCCTTGTGTCGAGTCGAAGGAGGAGATCGTGAAAATTGCTCAGACGTTGTAGCCTCGGGAAAAAAAATCCTTAAAAAAGATAGGGATGGTGCAAGAATCTACGAAACTGGAAAAGGAAAATGATTCAGAAAACCGGAAGGTATACAATAGTCTGGATTTTTCTTACGAAATCCTGATTTTTCGTAGCCATGCTTACCTTGGCTTCTTTTCTTACATTCGCCTCTGGAAAGCTTTCTTTCAAAATATAGCGTTTGTGAAACATTTTAAGTCTAACTTGCTTGAGGAATATAGCTGTCAACAACCTCTTAACTAAATTAAAATCCGTCTATTTTCGTTGTAGTGGTCTAAACCAATTATGGAGAAGAGAAGGCGCGAACGAATCAATCGAAGCCTAGAAGAACTGAAGAGATTAGTGCTAGAGGCACAGAATAGAGATGTAAGTATTTGCTGTGTCAGCAGAAATATATCTGCATTATTTTAGAACAAGTGTTCGATGAGGGTCGCATTCAAATGCAGTAAATCTTTTGTTCATTTGCTGCTTGTAAATTTAGAGGAAATGTTAAAGTTACTGGCGCTATAGGCAGGTTATCATAGTGGCCCTTTCTATTTTGCCAAACATTGGATTCCATCAGTTTGCGGTTGATATCGCGGAATCTTACCAAAGAAGTAAGACATATGGGTATTTTTTGTACTGCGTGACTGTACAAAGTCTATACAAGTTGCGTTTTAGCGTGCTTTTGCAAACAAGCTTTCTGTCAATCGTATTTAACATCCGTGACATCTGTTTTGTCTCGAGGAAAGAAAGAGACCGTGAACTGTCGTGAGTGGGTTAATGAAATTAGAGTATCAATGATGTTAGCATTTCGTGGTTGAGACGATGGGGTCTTTCTCTCTGTTAAGGGTCGTTGAAGAAAATTCCAGTTTAACGCTCCAAAAACAGTTTAAGTAATAAAGTTTGATTTCAAAATTAATAATTGCAGAGTTCTCGGTACACAAAGCTGGAGAAGGCAGATATCCTGGAGATGACTGTCCGTTATCTACGTAGTCTTCGACATCACCAACGAGCAGGTAAATTTTACCTCCTCTGGGATAATGACACGTTAATATACAACTAATAAATGTCAGTACATGTTACCGTTATTTCAACTGCTCAATTGTGAATAGTTTATGACTAGTACTACGTTTTAAGCATTTTAAGCTTATGTCACTAGATACGACAGGTGCAACCTGTAACATTTGGAAGACTTTTTAATCTCTCAATTATTAAGTAATGAAGACATTGACGTGGGTTGAAAAACAAAAGAATCATTGTGATGTTTATTATGTTGGGTTGCAAAAACGCCGCCTACGGCTGGAAAAACTTAAAATATACCTTTATGTACAATATAAAAGTTGAAAAAACTCGTGGCAAGAACGCTATTAGGAACTAGTAAAAGTAATATATTTTTTTGGGGGGTTATCTTTACTATGGTTCGAGCAAGAAGCAGGTTCATTAGCTTATGTGTCTTAATTCTCAACCGCTTCAGGATGTTTAAGTGAGTCGCTAGTGTATGGTCCATTGCTTTGGGGTTTTTAACTCGATAACACTAACTCTTATACTGCGGCTTTAGATTCATTGAATTGACCTAGAGGCACGCTGTAAAATACTATTTTATCTCAACTCCGTGGATAACTCGATAATTCGATTTGAGTTTGAAAATCATCTCGTCCGAGAAAGCTTCTCTCTCAAACAAACAAAACAATCTAATCCATTTTAAGCGATGATCAAAAGAAACCCTTGTGGTCGAAAGGTCATCTTGATAAACAAATGTCAGTTGAAAGTCCACTCCATTTTGATACTGGTAGCCTTTTTTGGGAAGATCTAATGGAGTTCAAGCAGAAGGAAGGCCAAAAAGCACTGATTAGTTTGTGTGATTCTTTGAAAGCCTGGATAGATTTTGCAATTTACCAGAAATAATTTTTAGAAAAGAGAGAACAACTTGAACCTTAAAAATTCAGGGGAGGTAAAATTAGAATACGAATGAGAAAAGTGATCATCATTTTAGTGGCTTATTTTTGCAAAGTACTGTTTTATTTAGTTCTTGTATTAAAAGAGAAATATCTTGTCCCTTGTGAATTTTCTGCTAGATCTCAAGTAGGAATTATTTCTTGTTGTTGAAGCTTTCACAAATTGGGATGGACTTAAAAAAGCGTGGCGTGGGGGTTTTACCCAATTGGAATGAGATACAACTCTTTTCAGTGATTCATGTTCATACTTCTTCAAGGTTTCTTTTCTTCTTTCAGTCGCCATGCTGCTTTACTGTGTGAAATATTTTGATTTTGAGGTCTACGCCAGCCTTTTACCAACGAAAAAATTATTAGAGTAGGGCAAGTGTCCTCAGTTTATACAGAAAATTCTCTTTCCCTTACAGTTTTGCGTTTTAAAAATGTTCTCTGTTTCTAGTGATGGCGACTGCCGACCCTCACATGCTACTCAAGTACCGCGCCGGCTACAGCGCATGCGTGGCCGAGGTGTCCAAAAACGTGATTGGGGACGATTCCTTGGAACCTGATGTAAAAACTCAAATCCTTTCTCATTTAACGGGCTGCCATGCAAGTCAGAGGGGAGCTGGTGACATTACAATACAGTCGCCCGCAAGATATCCATCATCAGTTCACTATGAGAGCACTTCGGACCTTTCCGTGAAGGAACAAAGACGGTTGTTACCTAAGGACACTACGAATTCGCATGCATCCCAAGCTCGTACCACAGTTTCTCCTTACATGGTTCAAAGCCATCGAGTACTTTCTTCACCAGGGACCATTCCTCTACATTATGTCCCCGTCTTAGGTACCGACTCTGGGACCTCTTCAGGATTGTACCACGCGCTGGTCCCAAGTGTATCTTCTCCCGGTTTACACCTCACAGACCCTTTGTGGCGACCTTGGTGATCAAAGTTGTGAAACGTTTTTATCAAATATGAAGGAATAGAATTATAGCGTAAATAAGGAGTTTAAAAAGATGGTTAAAGTAATCGCGTTTATCTCCGAGAGAAAGTTTTCACCTTAAATTTAGACGCTACATGTTAGAAATTAATTTTTAAAAAAATACACTGCTATTTAATAGGTCCCCCTTACGTCTTTCTCCCAAACGTTTAAATTCACTTGAAAAATCGTAAGGTATTGATGTTTTCAGCGTACAATTTAGATTGGCTCAATTCGATCACTCCATTATCGCATTTTTAACACGCATTTCTGTAAAACAGCGACCTAAAGCAACTGAGCCGACACAATGAAAGTTAGAAATGAAAGTATGAGTATTTTTACCTTGTTGTTCCATGATACAAAATGGCAGATGCTTGAGAAATAATGTAAATAGTATCGAATGATTTTAGAATTAAAGCAAGTGCAAATTCCGTTTCTTTCTCGTGCTTTTTTTGTTTCTTATTTGAATTAATGTTCATGAATATATTTATTACAAGCCCGATACGAGGCTTTGTGATCAAAATAGGCTTTTCCCAAGATCTGTACAATTCTAGAATTTTTAAACTACTCTTAGTTTGACCCCAAAAGTTAGCTCTAAAGTGTTACTCTTGGAAGAAGAAAACTGTTACGTAATATACTGGGGAAAACAATGCCTTTAAGGGTCGACAGTGATAAATACTGAAGGCCAAGTTTTACAGTAGAGACGTGCTAAGTTTTCGACGAGTAAACGAACTCACTCATCTTCAGGGTCTGGGCGGTCCGGGTTCGATTGTCACGTCGAATAAAAAAAAAAATTGCAGCGTAATTAAACTTCAAATTTATTGATTCGACACACAATCGAATGGAGGGGATGGGAGATTAATGCGGGTTGTAAGTGACGAGTATAACTGCACCAATTTTGAATGTGCCTGAGGTGTCGACTCTTGTTTTCTTCATGCCTGTCTCTATCGAGGCCGCGCTTTCAGCTGCCACGCAGCGCTCTTTCGAAGATCCTATAAACACGAGTGTTCCGTTAATCTTTTCATCTCCGAGGGGAAACATGTCTGCGCAAAAAAAAAAAACTGGGAAGGAGAGGCACAAATCTTAGTAGCAATCCTCGAAGAGTGATTAGCGATAGCCTTACGTTAGCGCGCTGGAGTTCAAATTTTAAGAGGTCTGGGTTCGAGACCTAGACGGGTCATTGTGTTGTGTTCCTTGGTGAGTAGCCTGTTCCAGGCGTGCAGTTATTAAAACGAAGCGAGATAGTAAACGGCGGAAGAGAGAAAAAACGAAGGGGGTTAGGGTTTGGGTCCTCTCCCTCTCCTTTTCAGTCCGCGGATACTATTGCACCGATTAGTATTACAGTTGCTCTCTTTCATAAATGAACGCCCGGAACAGGCTATTGGGCAAGACACTCAACAATCACAGTGCCTCTTTTCCCCAGGGGTGTAGATGAGGGACAGGGACAGCCCCCTTGGAGTGTAGATGGGTATAACCGAGTCGGCAGGGACACCTAACGGAATTCCGGGAGGTGTGAACTGCATCCGGTTTAGGGGGAGTTGCAATTCAACCAGTGGCAATGCAACTGTCGGCCAGAAAAGGCTCCGGCAGAATGAGTCACTGATTTACCTTACTGTTGAAAGACTAAGGTGAACTTGGTTTTTCATTTACTACAATACTTCATTTCATTATATTTCCTCATTATAATATTGCACGATGTTTCCTTGGTTATTGTTTATGGATATCTTGGATTGAAGTACAATTGCTCATTTTCAGTATGTCGTAGTTCCTAATTAACCTTCAAAGCACTTGATATCGTGCAAAAAGTGACGTTTTGCTTCACCCCTGCCTGCTCAGTTTGGTTGTCATATTTATTCATCATTATCAGTGGGTCCTACATTCACAAATCAATCAATTCCTACGTCATTCTGGTTGATGAGACCTGGGAATACTCTCTCATAGCGTGAATATCCAATATATTACCCGTGTCCAGTCATTCACCACCGCCTGATGACTGACGCTTTATTGGAAATTACACAAAAATGTGTCCTAAAGTCGTCATCACCTGGGCACCTCGGCCACTTAAGCTTTGTCCGCGATAGGTGTAATGTCCTCTGTACTACTTATTTGTATCTTGTGGGATTGTTTACCCCCGCTGGGAGAGTTCATTAAGCGAAGCCTCAGTTCCCTGATTTCTTTGTCTTTCTGCATGGTTAAAAAATAAAAAAAAATAGAAGAAAATATATAAGCTTTAAATGTTTGATCACACAATCATATATATGACCGTTACATATCAGGGGCTAGAATTAAATAATTGTATCTTGGGGCTGAAAATATGAAAGCGTCGGTATTATATTGAGTTTGGTTTGACATGTACTAAATCTGGCAATCAAGCGCGAATTGAAATCATCTCAACGAATCAGATGCAAGACAAAAAAAGCAATACGACCAGGAAACTCGATTTTTCCCGCACTTGTTCCATTCGCTCCTTGTGTATTTTCCATTCCTGTGATCGGATTCTGCGATTGCTCTGGTTTTACTTTGATAGCATTGAACCATCAATGTTCTTTATAGGGTTAGTTACCTGACAAGGTTAGTTAACTTACAGCCTTTATCTTATCCCCTTGCACTTAAAAGGCAAACAAATAAACAGGTGAAAACAAAGCAAAACAAAACAAAACAAGAATGTTTGTATGATTAAGTTATTTTGGATGAACTTTTCTAGTAAGTGTGTTAGGAGTCTATTGAGATCAGTATTGTGCATAATCTAACTATAGGTAATGTATTGCGAGAGAGAGTTTGTATCTTAAATAACGTATGGTCTCGGGGATAGATTTTGATAAAAAGTTTTAAAAAATCGTTTAAAACTACAGAGTAATTTCTATTCTTACCTCAGCCATTTTCCTCTTGAGTTCCATCAGTTGTCGTTCTGTCTCGATATCCATTGTTGGCATAGTGTTGTTTGTTTCAATAATTAAGTTATTGGTGGTAAACGTTCGGCACAATTCCTCACCAACCAGTCTAGCACGTTTCATTTCTAGCACCTTAATATAAAGATCGATTAATTTCGGTTTAGTATGGATAGATTTCCAGGGAGGATGGTAAATAATTAAAGAAGGTAACTAGAATTTGCGATACAAGATGCTACCTAAATTTTTATGATGCGCTAAATCTTCCACGCGTTATGATTGGTTCTTACATATGATCAATACGAAGACAGATGCATAGATAACGTCACCATAAACAACACCTTGCCTTTTTCGTCATTAAAAAAAAAACTGGAAAACAAGAAGATTGCACATTGTGGTGGGTCTGTTCAGTAAAAGATCACCCATGACATCAAAATGTGGTTAGAACAAAAAAGTGGCACACGAAGCGCACCTAGCTTGTTGACGTCATCTGTGACCTATTATTGAACGGACGCACGGCAACATGGACTATTTGTGTTCATGACTCTTAATAAAAATTATTTACCTTCGGTATGAACACAAGACACAGAGTAATAGAGGTACAGATGATAATGCAAACAGAGATAATAGAAAACGAAGCATCTGGTTCTTCCCTCATGGCCAATGATATCGGCGCACCAATAACGCACAGGATAAACACGTTGTACACAGACATACCAATGTACCTACAAAGAAAAATGCATCATCGGTTAACGAGACATACGCAGTGGTAGTTATTCTCAACAATGTAGACCTAAAGAAAGTTTTTCAAAGATCTTAAAGAAACAGTATTTATTTTTCAATATATACCAACCTAGTCGACTCTGAAAAATATATTCCTCGAAAATCTGATATACTAGATTAGTTAAATCTACTCCACTCAAATCTCATCAGTAATTTTCTTTACTGTCTACTGTATAATACTAATAATGTTAGTTTAGGGAATTTAGTATTGGATCAACTTACGATCCCTGATGATATTTTACTTTATTCTCATCACTTTTCTGCTTTATAATGTATTGATATTCTACCGAGAAATTCTGTCTTGGTCGCTCATGGGAGTTAAACGATAATTCTGATTGACATAATGGCTGACGTATTCGCGATGGTTGTCTTTCAGTTCATAGAGCGGACCTACCCTCCAAACTAACGGATTTGCTCGTCCATAAAACAATCAGAAAATTCTTTCTTTGTTTGACATAGTATACTGATGTATGTAGAATATAGGTTTTTTGAAAGAATTCTATCAGCCTCCACGGAAAGCTGGAGCTCGTCTGCCCACTTCTAGGCAGTGCGGTGGCAAAAAACCAAAAATTTTTACTTCTTGATGCACAGCGTACTTGGAATCATTTAGCGCAGGTATTGAAACGTTTCTTGTTTCCCATGCAAGGAACGCCCCAAATAACAATAGAAGTCCTTTGTAGCCACACAACACACCAAGCCAGCGGTATGTTAATCGAGATTCGCACAGCTCCAGCTGCTTCACTAAAGTAATGTCCAAATCGGAATCTAACGACTGAAAACAAACAAACAAACAAAAATGGGTTAGCCGTTAACAATAAATTATGTTTAGTATGAGCCTACATGTCACAGTTGAGAGCAGGTATAGCACATTGCCGTTTGCCAAGAGGAAATAATTTTGTCTTGCACTTTCTTGGGATTCCACCCACAAAAAGGGCGACACGTTTTTTTTGTGAGGTTCGTAATGTTATAAATAAATTCCTTTTTTTCGCATATTGTGATAATTACGGAATAGTTTATCCGCAGTCAAGTTGTCACGTTTAAGTAATAAACGGGTAACATTCCATCTGGCAACTTAAATGATGATCGCCATTATTAACGAGAAAAAGCATTTATTGGATGAGTCTGAGCACAATGGCGATAGGGGAATAGCACAATCAACGTTTTGTTAATTCTCGCTCTCATGTGCACACAAAGTCTTAGAATTGTTACTAAACATAGGAAGAGGCAAAGTGTTTTATGTTGTCCTTTTAAAAGCAAAATATTGTTCCCGCAAGACACGAAAAAGCCGTGCAGCGTCAAACTATTGAAAATTTATCATATTACATGATAATTCTCACCTCTTTCACAAACTCACGCACAATTCTCGTCATAGGATCCATCAGTTGCCAGACCGTGAGGTAGATGACGTCAGCAGTTACAAGAAGACAGACAACGGCAAATAGATGTCGGTCTTTTACAACCTGAAGAACGTAAGCGCAGAGCCAGTGATATTGTCAAAAGCATAGAACAATTTTTTCTAGTGAGAGCCAACGTATTTTGCAGACAATCACCGACGAGTTGTAAGATTTGACAGCTGTTCATTAATATTTGCGATCAATAAACCACAAAATTGCTAAGAGGTTTCTGTTACCCCTCTTGGATAACTGAAAGTTAAACTAGCATTTTATTATGCTATTTTGTTTTTACTCAAGAAAGTAAAGCCAGCTTTTAAATCAAGTGCCTGCGTTGAAAAAGAGATCTGAACTTCAGTTTGCTTTACAACGTTAATCACCTTTCGTTTTAATTTTTTGTTGGTAAATATCAAATGTACTCGCCAGGTCTTGGAAAACATGGCGCCATATGCAAGACTGAAGCCAAGAGAGAGGGTCCAGGCTCTGCTCTGAAAAAAAAAGTTCGGAAAGTGTTAACTTGAGATTTTAAGCTGACACTCGAGATATGTGCTTGAAATTCCTCACATTTGAAAAAGCAGTTAAGTCGCAATTAACAATTGAGTTCAAATTTGGCGGAGGCTGTCATCATCCTATCGATAAAATAGAATATTCAGGCAATTTAAACAGCTTTAGGCATCATGGTTATGATGCGGACACATTTCTAAAATAAAAGCAACTGTGTTGCAACTCAGTACTTCTGAAGTTTGATCCTCACCGCGCATATCATCTCGTAACCACTGGAGATAAATCCGCCATCCAAACCAAACAGAAACACTGAGATGTAACTTAACGTGCAACCCAGTAGAACAGAGTTGTTCAGATTAGGACTAGACATCTTGATGAACCTTTTGTGTAAATCAAACACAGGTTATGATTAAGTTTAATAACAGGGAGATGTAAAAAAATATCGCCACAATTCTAAACTGCATCGAGTTCGGCTATGTTTCTTAAGTCTATTACGGTACCCGGATGAATTATTATCAAAATACACATTACAGAAAGGGATTCTAGCCCCCCCTCTCTCCACCCCAAAACCTGGCAAAGCTCCTTTCCCTTTCCTGCGTTTCAGTGTCGACATAATTGAAAGTGGCTGCATCAAACCATCTTGGTAAAATGATCACTGTTTCATCAGAAATTCTCTTTGCGAGAGGACACGACTGCTTGCCTCCTCATTGTCAAACTTGGAGCGCAGAAAAACTGGACGCTGCTAAGATGGCAATCAGGTTTGGCTCTGCCGCTGAACAACGTAAAAATATTTATGCAACCCTGAGAAAGAGTATACACTTGGCTCCGTGTACGGTATCCCCCCCTTCCCGCCTTATCTTTCAAAACGCTGCGCCGCCTCTGTGATTCACGTGGATCCCGAGCATCATTTCATACCTGACATTTCTCTTAGTAATGTTAAACCACAAAAAGAACAGAGAGATGATTATAGCCAGTGACGTTAGTACCGCCATAAATGTAAACAGTGGAACAGATACTGACATCAACTCATACACCAGCTTGGTTTTGTCCCTTGGGGGCGATCCTCCTATTACGTAACACCATTAAGACAGGTAAGTGTTGTATCAACAAAACATTGGAGTTCAAGATTGTAGTTTGAATTGTTAAACACTGTTTCATGTGCGCACATGACGAAGTTTTAATTCACCTTTCCATGTGATAGGCTCGTAGTCGTCCCAAGTTATCTCACCCGTGTTGATGCGATAGAGCCCAACGGTTACGTACCGCCCATCTATAAACGTAAAGAGACACGCTATAGATTCTATAACACTGCGGTAATTACTTATGGTATAACGAAAATGAAATACGATTTTCATTTTCCTACGAAATTGAAAACGGCGCGGTCTACGGTACATGGATTTATCACACTCTATGCTAGGGAAAAATTGATTTACTCATCAAAAGCTTAAGCTACGCTTATGAAACAAAAGTGGTGTGCTTCTAATTTTGAACCACGAACCCGTCAAAGTTTATGGTCGGAACAGCCCTGAGTACTAGATAACACATAGCTCTGGTTTTCTTCTCCACAACGATGAAAATAGGCTGGGTCTTAAAGAGATTACTCGATAGATATGTAAATAATTGAACGACCTTTCATTTGAACTATTTGTGTGTCTCCAGCTCTGTTTCCTTCGCTGGTGAAACCAACGGGGCCCTGAGGAAAAATAGAGTTAGTGACTAAATGGTTTGGAAAACTATTGCCCTCAACGCTACTGCCACACAACTTTAAACCAGATTTTTTAAGCGCGTTTTTGACGCTCTTAATACTGAACTTCCACACCAACTCTTAGCGCACGGGGCAAAGAGTGAGGAATCTTCTGGGTTCAAACATTAAGGAATCGTTTTCATTTCAAATTTCTTCCTTTATCGAGCAAGATTGCATAGCAAGAGAATTTTATGTTCTCGAGTCATTTAAGTGATACACTCTGCTTTTTTTCTTCATTCAATCAGTAACGATAGAGCGCTACCCTCCCCACCCTCCCCCCCCAAAAAAGCAAACGAAACAAAGTTTGTTTCAGCTCACCGTTACCCCTGAAAAGTTGGTTCCTCGAAGAGCTTTAGTAAGTGCAACTGATAGGGACTTGTTTCCATATGGTACATTATCTAAACGCGTGGTAGGGGAAAGTTGAGGGATGGTCCTATTCAGCGCAAGGGCTACGGCCCACACAGCGTCATATGCGTAACCACGGTGAACATCTCGTGATTCTAGAGGGACTTTGGCTTCGTATTCAACTTGGAAATCTTTAACCGTCTGAATGAGAGATGGGGAAGCCTGGAATAAGCTTGAACAACCGGAAATGTTGCTACCATGGGGTGATAAGTAGAAGTATTACCTAAAGCTTACTCCCCTGTCTAAGCTTACATTAAAAAAACTAGATCTTGCAAATAAAATGAAGAAAGGTTCGACTTGTACGCTAGATAATCTTAGCCACTTATTAAACTGGAGAATACGTCATCGAGAAAAAATGTTACGAGTCCACTTTTCATCTTTTTTCTCCCATTGGTGTGTGTTCATGAACCTTATACGCAAGCAAATAACAGGAATTAATCATGTGCAGTAAGTATGCTCGGTGCAATATAAGGACTTCCCTAACTAATTTCTAATAACAGGAGAAAGACACAGGAACATACCTTTCCATAGACTGTTTTTGCTTCTGACCCAGTACTCCACAAGTAGTCTGTTGCTAGGTGACCATCCATAGCCTCAAACAACTGCTGTGACGTACAAGTGATACTGGAGTCGTTGAATAGCCACCAGTTTTTCTCTATATACCCAAGGAGAATCCAAACGTACTTTGCACCGTACATGCGCAGTTTGTACGCCTACAGTATCAGGAACATACTGAGGGTTAAGTCTTATGAAGCTTATAAAGGCTTCCATTTGATGAAACGAACAAAAACATTGCTACTCTTCATTGGAAGTTGTTGGTCCAGAACAGTTTTTTGCAAAATAGATATGTGAATAAACAGAAAGATAGAAAGCAACATCACGTTAACCCTGCTAGGCCTCGAACCCGAACATTTCGATTTGGAGTCTTGGATTACCATGTCTCGTTTATGAAATTATCGTGAATTTATTTAGTACACTCTCCATACTAAAACCCTCTAATTCACTTTACGCATCTTGCGGAGGACTTTTGCCAGAGCAGCTCACAACTTTTCAAGGGAAATTTTGCAGGTGTCCCCAATTTAAGAATGTTTTCGGAAACAAGCCCAGACCACAATACCGGGAGCTGCGTTCCCTACTCTTTACGAGAAGTGTATAGGTTCTATAGTTTCCCCTGCTAATCAGTACAGAAAAGATAGGGGAAACGGGGCCTGCGGTTTATCTTCCTTATTCGAGAGGACCACAAAAAAATAAATAAATAAATAAAAAAAAAAGAGATAAAAAATAAAAAAATTAAAAGTTTGGTAAGAGCAGAAGATGACGGTCATAAGAGCTTACCTCGCAAAACACTTGTCGAGCGCCTTTACCAAAAAAGTTAGCCAGGATGATTCTTGCTCCTCTTTTCTGAGTATTGATGAACAAAGAATAACTTTATCAATAGGCTTACTGCTCTCTTAAAAGTTATTGCTTTTGTGGTAAGTTACCTTCATATTCTCCACCTGGGCATGCGCATCCTCTCTGAAACTCTCGGAAGAAAGTTTAACGATACCATTCTCCAGAAACAGGGTATGAAGATCAGTTACAGCCTGTGGAATAAATTGCCATGGATTAATTCATTTTCATAGTCAGAGCCAGATCTCTCCAATCAACAAGCAAATTAGTCAACAAGAAATAACTCTGAAAGGTTTCCAACATTACATGATACAGGAGACTGCTCTCGATGTCTCTTAGAGAGAAATAGAAATATTTGATTTAAATCTGTCTCCATCAAATGATAACGAATAGAAAGCTACCGAGCCTTTGCCCAAGCCCTCATTATTTGTACCCCGGCACCAGCGTTTCTACGCCCGCGGGAAAGTGTCAGGCCTTGAGCAACACAAGCCGTCAAAAGGTCTGCAAGGGGTCGGGCACTGATAAGTAGTACCAGAACCCCAGGCAAACTTCTCCTCAGCTCTTCTCAAATCTTTCCGCGGGCGGAGAGACGCGTGTCCCACAGCGCTAATAGTTACCGTTCTGTGTATGTCCTCCTCCTGAAAGATGGTACCGACATGACTCCATTTGAACGTTTTCAGTAATGCGATCCGGGGTTCGTTTAATGAAGTGTCATCTGGTATCGTACGGTAAAAATACGGATAGTTCTTTTTATCAGACAGCTCAGGTGATGTACTGGAATACGATATCTGTTGTAAATAAAAAAGGAAAACAATTGATATTTGCCTTTTTCTGACTGAGGATCGAATTGTGCAAAGAACTGCTGCTGGGTTTTACGAAAGCAAGTGCACTGAGAAGGGAATCTCAATTAACCCTTTAACTCCCATGAGTGACCAAGACAGAATTTCTCCTTACAATATCAATACAATATCAAGGAGACAAGTGATGAGAATAAAGAAAAATATCAATTAGGGGATTATAAGTTGATCCAATACCAAATTCTCCAAACTAACATCACAAGAACTGTATGGCAGACAGTAAAAAGAATTACTAATGAGATCTTGGGGTTTAAAAGGTTAACCTTTTACTTTCATTTGGAGATTCCTTATTCACCGAGAATAAAGTCCTTGATAACTCAGTTTGATAAAAAAAAGAAATAAATAAATAAAATACTCGGGCACTTTGCTTTTAGCTCGGAAGATTTTAGTGTCATGTTACTTCAGTTGCTGTATTTGAGCTGCGATCGAATAAAACTATTAACTCTTACGAGAACGTTGTAGAATGAAAATTCCTACTAATATACTAGACATAAAAATGTTTCATGCTTATCATGTCATCACTGATATTTTCAAGTTGTCTGTCACCTTTCGTGAATAAAGGAGCAATTTCATTCACAATATAATTTTCTCCACGATATACCTGTGGTATTGCCCATTGGTCAAGTCCAGCCAGAGCTGCAACCACCGTGCTACACGACGAGAACCCAGCTCCAAGGAACATGATTTTACGAGGCTTTTTATGAAGAAATTCAAAAAGGATATGTTCTGCCCAGCCAGGTGAACCCTGCAATTAATAACCTCATGTTAAAAATCAATAACTCTCTAAAGATCTGAGTATTTTTGGGCGAGCTGCTTAGCGGAGACGTACTACACGTTTTTCTCACGTCGGTTAACACGTTCGAAGTCTAAAATCTTCATGATGTAATCAGACGTGTGAGATTTTTGATGGGTCTGATTTGTTCTTCAGCCAAATAGAATTGGAGTCGACGATACTGCAAACGTGGAAAGCGAAATTTTATTTTACCTTGCGCCTACTTTTCTTTTCTTCTTAAATAGCGTAAACGTGATTCTTTTAGATAGAAAAGAAGGGTTCTGGCAAATTTTCAACAACAACAAAAAAAAAAAAATCAGAAGTTTCTGGAATTTTCTTTAACAGTACTCACTATCTCTCATGCCTTAGCTTACTCCGGTGAAGTGAGACATTGGAGTAAGTTAAGACTTATGGAAGGTAGTGAGTGGTGTCAGTAAAAAAAAAATTGGGGATACTTCAGTTTTTTTTTTTTTTTAAATGTGCCAGAATCCATCTTTTCTATCTACCATTCGAAATGCGATGTACTTTCATCATCCAGGCAAATTAAGCAACAAAGTTCCTATTATTTTGTGCTTTAAGTAACGTTTATGTTGCCAAGAGAATCAGTACGCTATCAAACTTCAAAAAAACAAAAAAATTAAAAATTAAAACAGCATCAAAAAGGAAAAAAATTAGAAAAGAATAAAACAAAAAAAATAACGTGCAAACGAAAGCAAATTTAGGAAATCCTTACTTTGGTATCGTTCCAAATCATTCTTAGCTCATAGTCCTTTAATACTCCGCCTCTATTCACGTCATCGAGCGCCATTTGCGCAGCTGGTAAAATACCATTACCGCCTGTCCATCCGTCATTGTGTTCTGACGTCAGAGGAAATAAGGCTCCTACGTAAAGAGGCGTCTTTGCGCTTACGTGGGGAAGATTATTAACCAAGATGTATAGAGGGAGCACATGACCATAGAAAGACATTGTGTGATTATATACCTGTGACACGAAAAAACAACACAAATAGCTAGAAACATTACTCACGAGGGCCAACAAATGATATATATATTCAAATTCTTAATATCATATTTCAAAATATTTTTACTAACTAGTCATAATTATCAATTGCTTTGATGAAGCAATTTCTTTTGGTAACACAGTGCTGATATTAAAAATGACATCTCGTGAAATTTGACCAGACAGGGTCAGGGACAGCTTGAAATCGTTTAAACGTCATCAGAAGGGTCTTCCGCATTACCAAGCAACATCATGCTTCACTCACTAAACTGTATTCTCTTTAAATCATAAGTTTTGTTAGGAGCAGAAAGTACTTCGTAAGTACTAACTTAACCTGTACGATGTTAGGAAAAATCTTGATGTTGTAAATTAAGTTTCACTCGAAGATTTAACGTTAACAACTGCCAGGCTTTTTAAGAAACAACTTAAAATGAGAAACTCAAATTAGGAAATTGCTTGAGGGATTTTGAGATATAATAAGAATAAACATTTGAAAATACACCATAATTTTTTTCAACCAACTACGACTAATTTCTACTATAAATTTTGCACTCACGTTGGAAGACAACAAAATATTTCTTTTGTTGGCTGCGTACAAGAAGATTTCCACAAGGTTGATTAGCCTGTAGGAGGTTTTTTCGTATTCGACTGATTAAGAATCTTCAATTTCCAACAGGCTCATCGTTAACTTATTGTAGCTTAGAGCTCTGAATTTTTCAAAATCCTCTTGGCTCAGTCATGATCAATTCCCTACTCACTTTCAAGTAAAGTGTTTCTAAAAATTTATTCGCTAGTATTTTACAAACCTTGCAGTGCCCGGCTAATAAGCCCTGTAATAGTCGTAATGACGGAAACATTAATTCATGAGTCTTCGTTCTTAACACGAAATTCATGTGGTGAATGCAGCCCAAATTCCCCGTGCTTTCATTGGCCGGTATTTTCCTTCAAATACCTTTTCTTGCTCAACTGATTACAACTACCTGGAAACCTCCATAATGATGTTTTATTTAGAGGTTAGAAATTTATATAAGGTTGGCGAATATAATTTAAGAAGGTTATCTATATTTTCTTTTTCAAGCTGTAACAATTTTCCCCTTTCTGGCAGGGGGTTCTAAGAGCTTTCACAAAAAAGCAGTGTTTTGTGTTTAGGCCTCAATAAATCTCTCACCGAAGGTTGTATAACTTGTTAAGAATAAATTTTCACGCATTAGCCATTGAAATTTCTGTCATGGTCAATATTGCTCCAATTTGTTTTCAAATTGAAACAGATGCCCTCGTACCATTTGTATGCTCTGTCGCCTTCTTCCAAGAAGGCCTCTCGTATTTGCTCAAGAGAGTCGGAATCATCGTCATCTTATGGCTGTCCTCGACAAATTTCAAACATGGTTTTATAATCCTCGTTGGAATTAGTCGAAAGGTCTTATTTTACGGCTTCTGAAGAGGAATTTGTTTCTCGTATAACGAAACTAACTAGTTTGCTTCGCGGCCTAAAATAATGTCCGCACTTAACCACAATAAAATCACCAAGGCGTCACCAAGTCTGTAATATCAAAGCGTTATTTCCAGCCTGATAATTAAAGCTGCCAAAAGCTTTAGATTTTGCACTGCAGCGATTCCTGTTTGACACCCGTTTCCAGCAGTGCAATTGTTTTAAACAATTCCCAATGATGAAGTATGTCAGAGCTCACCTGGATGCGAATTAATTTTACCCACCGAGTCAAATGTTATTCCTTTAAGGCGTCCGGTTGGGGATCATCCAGTTATCCATGTGCGACTCTTGATTTTTGTGTAAAAATCGTCTCTTGCTAGACAAGAAGTCTTCATGAAAGAGGGATTCGATCGATAGCTTTTTAATTTGACTGTGTGCGTTAGTACCTCGAAAGCAATTAAAGTTGCCGGAAAACATTTCGGCTTTTGTAAGAGTCATTTCCGCTTAATGAGTAAAATTATCATTATACGCGCTTGCCAGAAGAAAGCAATTAGTACAGAACTAATTTACAGTCTCAAAATATTCACTATTTTGATCCTTATGCATACACCAGCTAAACTTCATTTAAATCGACACTTAACTACCTTGAGAATATAAGGTGAATACCTTTGTCACGAAGCCCTCGTTTTACAAATGTAACCAGAACAATATTATTTAGAAGAACGGATACTTCAACACGCACTGAAGTTTAAAAGAGGGCAAGAATTTTAAAGTTCTACTTTATCAGTCTACATATGTCATTTACAAGATGTCAGTTTTTAATCACGCGCGAGCGAATAGAATTTGACGTAACATGCATCCACTCCTAAAAACCCTGTCAATTTGTTTAGACTTGTGTACAAGCTGAATGACAGACGTCTGTCTATGTGACTGCTTGTTTTCCGCCTTCCTCATAAAAATTAAAAACGCACTGAGCCTAGCGACAATCAAAATGGAAAAAGGTAGGTAAGTTATTCCTTTTCCAATGATCCAATTTAAAGTTTTTTTTTAAAGGAAGACTGAGAAGCAAATTAAAAAAAAATCTCTTCCAAGGAATTTCTATGATTCTTTATTACAGAAAAAAAGAAACAAGCTAAGTTAAGTTAGCTTTCACAAGCTAAGTTAAGCTAAAACAAGATGGGAACTGGTTATTCACGGCAGACGATTTCTTTCTAAGCTAACTATAAAGGGATGGTTTTACACCTGCTCTATGAGCGTGGAGTGTAACCGCTGGAAATATCCGATCAATTTGTAAACATAATTACTAACTACCCTCCACATTGTCTTCAGTAGTTTCCTAATAAAATTTTGAATCAATTTCCTTTTATCATAGTCAAAACTGTTTTCAGTCCGTCGTTCAATCACACTACGAGATGTTTTCTTAGAAACGCTCTATACTGCGAATTTTCATCCCCTATGCTGTCTTAACTCAATTCAAAGTCTTTACACTATGGTAAAATATTTCCATAATGACAAAATTCTTAAAAATTGGCTGAAAATACAAAATTCTCTGATTCTTGGCATATCGTATTTTACATTAGTTGCACTGAGTGGAGTTCAGTTAAAGAGAAAGAATTCAAGCAGAACTCAACCTGGCATGCGGTTCAACCCCCTTTTGCTACGAGGATTGAAATATGGATAAATGTTTTGTTTCCACTGAGTAGAGTGTACTAATTTTCATGTCTTAAAAAGGTCAGAGGGCCTACCTGTTTTCCATCTTGAAATTTGAAAAGCATCATTTATCCTGCATTCCGCTTACTGCTTTTGCGTTTCTCTTCAAACCTCGTTTTTATTGTTATTGTGTAGTCTTGCGAATAATTAGCTACTTCTTTTAATTCTCAATGGAGACATCAACAAACTAGTTGGAAAGAACAAAAGTACTAGCTAAAGTATACGATTAACATGGGTCATTTCTTTCAGCTTCACGTGAGATGATAATTAATTGTGTGCGTTGAAATTATAATGAAAATTTTCGTAGCTAGTTAACACTTTTCGTTTTGCATCCTTATCGATCGTCGGTAGTAAAAAATATTGAAAAGAAAAGACAGACAGGAAGAGAAAAAAAACTTACACCTGGGAGATGTTTTATACATATCTGTTTGATGTGAGTTTTCTTCTTTCAGCAGTATGTTAAAACAAACTGCTGAACTATCAGTCTACTAAGAGTCCTGATTTTAAACTTTTCTAGGAAAACTTTCCAGAAAGACTGGAGATAGATATTTTGCATCCAATAATTTTAATAATTCTGATCTAAGGAACATGTTGCCTGCTTTACTCTAAGTTCATTACGAACCTTTATACACATCATCGTCAAGTCAATAAAGATAAATAAACAAAGAACAAAGAAGAGAGGAGAGCTTTGGTTTTGTTTATTTGGTTTGTTCGAGTGAAGTTGTGATAACTTTAAATTAGCCAGCTGTCATTGTCATGAAAATTAAGAGAGACGGTTGTCCTACACTTGTGCCCTTTAGTGGCTGTTTACTCGAGTAAGGAAAAATTTTCTTTCATTTAGAATAAATTGAGTAAGTTGTAACGGTCGAATGCCGACTCTCAATTTCTTCAACAACAACAACAACAACAACAAAAAAACGATGAGAGACGAAATTGGACCGTTCTGTTTTGAAGGATGCGTTTCCATGATGACCTTCGTGAAATTAAAATTGTATGACCCTTAACTTAAACGACGATTTTCAAGAGAGGAAGAATCCTCCCTCAGAAGGCTTGTGATGTAAAGCGCAATAAATTTGGTCGATCAGCCGAACGAATTTTCCATAATTTTGCAAATAACAGGTTTAACTTTCCTAAGTCTAGACCTTGATTCACTCCATCTAAAATTGGAGTTGTTATAGACACTGAAACTGCCATTGAAACATCGCCTTTTGAAGAAAGTAACCCGCTAAAATATACTTTGAATTAAGCTTTTTGAAAACATAAGATGAATCGATCTCGAACCAGCCCTTTTTAACTTTGCCACAACGATACGAGAGAGTTACCAAACCTTACCATATCATGATCAAATGTAGATAGGGGACGTTTCGAGTGCTTTCAGTTACTGTAAAGCTATGATTTCGATTAACTGAATCATTCGTGCCATTGCCGATTGCCCCTAGCGCGATGACTATCCTCTATTTATGTGTTTTTGTTCGGTTTCATTGGTGCATTCCTTCGTTTTACCTACATCATTAAGATGTTCAAATTCGATGCAAAAACTGGGTCACGCAAGCATTATGTGGCCTATGAATCAAATCGAACCAAACAAACCGGAATTCGTCGTTTTAAAGGTTCCCTCTCGACGCGGCAAATTAACAATATACAGTTAAAAAAAATCAGTTATCAAAATCTATTGCTCCTCATAACTTATCTGCTTTCGATGTTATCGAATTTAGAGTTTCAACACATGTCGATAACCCGCCACAGGCAACGGGAACATTTGAATGGGGGTGGGAGGGTGGGAAGGCTATTAGTGGGCTGCAGCTGGCGGCCCAAGGATCATGGTTACAGAACTGCATGCCGGTTGGCCTCGAGAGGCACAAACCATCGTTCAGGTGATGATTGAACTATATCCTTCGAAGGCATAGAAATGCTTAGTTTCTGTAGAATTTAAATATTAGAATAAAACAAAACACAACAGAAAGGAAAAGAAAACGATAATTCTCAACACAGTCATTAACTGGAATTATTTCCTAGAAAAATTCAACCTAATTCGGGAGAGAACTTTTAAAAAAAGTGAAGGTGACATTTTTAAGCCACTTTCGAAAGCTTTAACGATTTTCGATCGAACGGTTTTTATCCCACGCAGGCTTAACGAAAATTTTTACCTTTTTTAATTAGTGCATTCGTTAAAAGTCTGAATTTAAATCTCTATTATCCATTTCAGATTAGTTATGCGGCTGACTCAAGTCATTTCTTCCGTTTTAAGTTTCAGCGAGCTTCTTGTGCCTAGAGATAAATTCAATACTACACAGATGGCCAGAAATTAATTGACAACATTCGTAATCTTCAAGTGCTTTTTCCTTCAGCGTCGTTTGCTTGTCTGTAAAGAATTTGTAAAGTTAATACCTTATTGTAAATCCCACACCACTTCTCTCTTTCACCAAAGTAATATACATCTGCTGCCGTTAGTTCGGCAAATTTGCCAGATAATCTTTGATTTTCGTCTCATTCAACTCCAAATCAATAAAGGTAATAAAAAACAAACGACAAAAAAAAAACAAAAAAAAAACAAAAAAAAAAACTTAAGAAAGCTTCAGTTTCGCTCTTCAAGTAAATTTGTCACAAGAGAAAGACTGCATATTTTTTAGACTTGCTTTAGTAGGTTGTAAGAAAACCATTTCGAAACTCCTCACCTCCTGTAATGACAGAGCACTGAAAAGAGACATGACATTCTACGTATTAAAATTTCCTTCTCTAGCCTTGTTAGTTTACATACAATTTCCTAAGGATTTATAAAAAATGCCGGTGGGAGCTCCTCACAGACTCTCTGCACGTGTTATGGGTGTAGGTACTTGTAAATGAGCCAATGTGGAAAGTTTTACCAATCTAGGCTAGAGGAGAGACGCCATTCAATATCACGGACGAGGAAGAGATGTACATCGGATAAAAACAACACTTCCAATTGAAATGTATTCACTTACCGACTCAACCTTCTAATTTAACCAAACCGATTGGAGAATAAACGCCGGCTTATTTCAACGAAGACGAAAGTTAGTTTGCTTATGGCTCACGTTGATAAATAAGGCGATTTTCTATCGAGCGGCGCTCCTTAAAGGAAGAGATGGATTGAAAATTGCCCTAAGGTATAAAATAACAATCAGGGTACCGTGATCACGTTTCATTTAATTGTTAGGTTTGTTGATAAAAACCGACGTCGGGAAAATTGTCATTCATAAGGTTAGCTCATCAGTGATTGTTAAACGCGAGGTTATTATTTTTTCTTTTTTCTAAATATTTTATTACCTCGTAACTGCTACTGAATTGAGCTCTAACCGAGAGTTCTCTCCTCATTTTTGTAAAACGGTCACATTTCTATTTGACAAGTTTTCAAATAATCAAAGATTTTCTTTGCCAGTGTAAGTGAAAGAAAAAGAGCGACTTTATTTCAAAAATTCTCAATATCGTGAAACTGACGAGGCAGTATTTAAATAAGAGGACGTGATAAGGAAAACTTAAAATAACGAAAATTTCTTTTGTAGTGGCGACTTTACAGAGGAAGGAAATTAGAAAGGTTTGTAGTGAAATAAACCTCCAGATTTTTTTTAATTAAGTGCCATCGATTATTTCTCTTTGATAATGCTTTTAAAAAGACAAGCTTTCTTTGACAGTTGCATTTGTCACGAGCGATTTTGGCTTTTAGAGGGAGAATTTTTGTCACGTTCAAATACACACTGTCATGGCTTACCGCGATCGAGTTTCTCAAGCTGCGTAGAGGAGAGGAGTGTTGTTCATCATTCATTCGTTATCAGCAAATTCTAGATTACCTCAAGACAATCGACAATGTCTCGAAAAAGAAAAACTCGGCATTTTTCAATTCATCAACGCACCTATTCGCAAAACTTCGAGTTTTTTAATGTTTCATACTTCCTTCCGCGCTGAAAGTCGAGTTAATAGTGCTCTGACCTGAAACTTGATGCGATTTTCGATAACGATAAACTCTGAACTAGAGATTTCATTTTAAAAAATCAGTTGATAATCAATACCAATCAGTTTGAATTGACGTCAAGTAATTTCTGAGTAACAAAAACCCAATTTATACTGAAAATTGGCCTTTCATGAAGAAAAAATGGGTCAAGTCGGTTTATTAACAGTGAAAAACAGAAAACTTCTCGGAATAACTTTGCAAGACAAGCTGTTTGGCATTTCGCCAGTATTGTAATAAGACATAAAAACCTTCAGATATCAATGGATAAAAGGAAGTTGAATCAAGAAGAAATTTTGACAGATTGAAGAGGAAAACCAAACAATATTTTAGCAAGATTTTTCCTCATCAAGTTCCATCCTCCCCCAATACAAAGAGGTATTTTGATCATTTTAGTGGCAAAACAAAATGAAAAACAATCGTAGTAACGCATACAGGCATATCTTGTTGGCGAATGTGTCGAGATAAGCTGCAAGTTGGAGTAAAGGCAATATATTACCACAATAATTCTACTAAGAGGACGGGAAAATTGTGACAAAAATGAGAGATATTTATAACACGCATACGATATTCAAGGAAATATCAACAGCACTGATTACTTGATAGCAACGATCGAATTATCCAAACAGACATCATCAATTTAATTTGTGTAATGTCTACATTCTACATCCTACATGATTCAACCTTGAGTATCGTAAAGCGAAAAAAAAAATCAATTCGAGCAAAAGTTTGAGCGTCATGCGAGGAGGTCAGGCGAGGAGAGACACAACTTTACCCATTCAATGCTCACATTGTTGACTAAAATACTGATCGCCCACTTTACAATGGATGAGTGAGATTTAAGGAAACGAGAGTGATAAGTTAGATTGTTGTGCACATGTCTGAGTACACAAACAAAATGGTAAGATTAAGGTGTAGGAGGGGCGGGGAGGGGCCACTGGGTAATACGGGTGGTTAGGGCAAAGTCACTGGAGAGGGACAAAGTCACTGAACGTAACTGCAGGATAAAGATTTCAAAAAACCAGGCTTGTTTGGTACACTGGTGGAACAAAACGTAAAAACATCAACAAACAAATAACAAAGCGAGACTGATTTATTGCAGGCACTCTGGGTGCATGAAATGTCAACGCTTTTCTATCATGAGAGAAAATAATTATAATCATTATATCATACAAAATCACTAATACATTCATGAAAGATATATTTTTGCAACTAGATGCCATGGAAACTGAAATGATTACAGAACTGTTGCTGTAAGCTCAATGGATTCTTACAGGTGATTTTACGGCTTCATAAGCACAAAGCAACATAAACAGAAAAACTCTCAATCAAGCTTGGAAATTACGCAGTTCGTTGCAATCTGATGAATGAAGAACGAGTTCAATAGCGAACCATTTTGTTCAGTGGCTAAAGGACGACATTCGAAGATTCTGCATCGTGTTTCTTGCTGCAAAAACAAAGAAACAATTGAACAAAGGAGCAAGTTTAACTAGGTGTGTCTGCGTCTTACCTTATTGTTAATTTTCAATTGGGTTGAACCGATGAAAAAGTGAAAGATTCACCTCAAGATACATGGCGGCCTAAAATTGCAATTACACTTCTAAAATCCGGATCAAAAAGTACAAGTGAGAGTCATGCTGCCCGTAACATTTGTGTTGTGTTCAAAGGGAAAGATGTCTCACAGAACAGCAGTTTCAGTAGGTTGGGAGGAGGGTGAGGTAAACCACTTCATCACCATCCAGAAGGAGTGACAACACTACCTACTGACCGCTTCGTGCTTTGTGCCATGAAAACTGGGATGAGCTCCAACGGTGAAGGTCACTGGGCTCGAGTGCAATACATTTTAGAATTATATTCTCCTATCGGCAACTTGTTAAATACATTAGTTTGCTGCATGAACACCCGAGATGACCGAAATGAAAAATGGACCTACCGTGAAAATAAATGGTGTCAGTTATGTCATCTGGGTGAGGCACAAAAGGAGGGGGATGATTATGAATCGAAGACCAATCCATATTTGAAAAGAACGGAAGGCTTTCTATCTCTAAAACGAAAAGAACGAAAAAAATAAAACGTCACTGAAACGAAATGCATTTGGTGTTAACGAATTATGAATTAAAAGTACGGA